TTTTCCTGGTCTTTTTGAGACAGGGTCTCCCTGTAGCCCCAGCTGACCTATAGATCATTATGTAGACCAGGCTGGCCTAGATCTCACAGAGATCTGCCTGCCTCTTCCTCCTGAGTGTTGGTATTAAAAGTGTGTGCCAACATGACCAGAACATTTTTTTTTTTAATTATGGCTATAGGGAGACCCTATCTCAAAAAAAAAAAAAAATGTTTTGAGCCTGGCGTGATGATGCACGCCTTTAATCCCAGCACTCGGGAGGCCAAGGCAGGTGGATCTCTGTAAAATCGAGTCCAGCCTGGTCTACATAGTGAGTTCCAGGCCAGCTGAGGCTACAGGGAGACCCTGTCTCAAAAAGACCAGAAAAAATTTAATGTTTTGGGGGCTGGAAAGATGGCTCAGTGGTTGAGCACTGACTGCTCTTGAAGAGGACCCAGATTCAGTTCTCAGCACCCACATAAGGCAGTTCCAAGTTATCAATTACACTCTTTTGGCCTCCATAGGTTTGCTCTCACATTATGCATTTATGTGTACACAAGGAAACATTCATACACAGAAAATAAAAATAAATATATTTATATCATAAATATAAATATTTATTTGTTTTTGTCTTTTTGAGACAGGGTCTCCCTGTAGCCCCAGCTGTCCTGGCACTCACTATGTAGACCAGGCTGGCCTTGAACTCACAGAGATCCACCTGCCTCTGTATCCCGAGTGCTGGGACTACAGGCATGCGCCACCACGCCCTTCAATAAATATTTATGTTTTTTAAAGTTTTATTTATTATATTTTCCTGTGTGTGTGTGCAGGTCAGAGGACAAGTGATAGAAGTCAGTTCTCTCCTTTCATGTGAGTCCTGGGGATTGAACTCAGGTAGCCAGGCTTGGCGGCAGCTACCTCCACCCATTAAGCCATCTCAAAAGTCCAACCTGTTTTTTAAAAAAAAATTTTTTTTTTGGTCTTTTTGAGACAGGGTCTCTCTGTAGCCCCAGCTGGCCTGGAACTCACTTTGTAGACCAGGCTGGACTTGAACTCACAGAGAGATCCACCTGCCTCTGCCTCCCTAGTGCTGAGATTAAAATGCATGCAGCACTGTGCCCTGCTAAATATTTTATTTTTATTTTATTTGTATGTGTATTTTGGAGTTACACACAGTTGTTAGCTGCTATATGGGTGCTGGGAACTGAACTCAGGTCTGCTCTTAACTGAACAGTGCTCTTAACTGCTGAGCCATCTCTCCAGCCACCCAATCTTTATCTTTTTTAATATTACATTTTATTAACTTTTTTGGTGTTTGTATGAGGTCAAAGCAGAGTACTTGTCTACCACAGCATGAGTGTGGAGCTCAAAAGACAACTTTAAGGAGTCAGTTCTCTCCTCCTACCATATGGATCCAAGGAATCACACTTGGGTTATTAGACTTGGCAGCAAGTACCTTTACCTGATAAGCCATCTCCAGGGTTCCAACCTTTTTTTAAAAAAGTACACTTATTTTGTGTGTGTCATATGTGTGGGCACACACATGCCACAATGTGAGTGTACAGGTCAGAGTACAGCATTTGGGAGTCAGTTCTCTCCTTCTGCAATGTGGGTTCTAGGGATGGAATTTAGGAGGTCAGGCTAGGCAGCAAGCACCCTAATCTGCTGAACTATGTCCCTGGCACCACAAAAATTTTTGAGCTAGGGTCTTACCATTGTAGTACTCACTGACCTCTAATTTCAAACACTCCTGCCTCAGCCTCCCTAGTGCTGGGATTACAGCTGTGCACCACCACGCTCAGCTACTTGAAAATTTGTTTTATTGAATGTATAAAGTGCTGAAAGTCAATAACTTTGGGATGCAGTCATGTGCCTATGGTCCCAGCTATCGAGATAAGAGGTTCCCTTGAGCCTATGAGTTTGAGGCCAGCCTGGGGACCATACTGAGGCCCTGTCTCAAAAACAAACAAAAATGAAACCTCTCTGAAGCTGAAGAAGCAAAATGTCATTATCTAAACTTTTTCAAGCTACTGAACTGTCGGGAGCCGCTAATCATTCAGCTGTGTCAGGCTTGTTTACTGAGTGTGTTGTGCACACCAGTATCTAATTTGCCTTATTAGGAGGAATATGTTTATATGGAGAGCCTCACAACACCTGACCTTG